CTTGTTTCAGGCTTTCAGCCATGAGCCATGTGCAGTTGTGCAGTTGTGCACATTGTGCAAAGTGCAAACACTTTAGAATTTCGATTGTGCAAACACTGCATTTGTTGGACTGTGTTTTTATTGCACTAGGTTAATGTGTTTAGCATCTGCAGACTGCAGTTGTGCAAGTTAGCATCTGCAGTTTAACTGTTTAATAGTTTAAGTGTTCAGCTGCCATGTGTTTAAGTTTGGACTATGTTTTTATTGCACTGTGAGTGTTAAGTGTTAACTATTAAGTTGATTGCCAGATCTGGCGTGCAAGTTTGCATCTGCAGTTGCCAGATTGTGAAGTTGTTGTCTGCAGAATAATATGTTACTCTTGTTTCAGGCTTTCAGCCATGAGTCATGTGCAGTTGTGCTTCCTCTTCCAAATTTGTGCAAAGTTTTCAGTGTTTTCAGTGTGCACTGTGCAGGCTTTTCAGTGTTTTCAAACTTGTGCACATTGTGCAGTTGTGCAAAGTGCAAACATTTTAGAATTTCAATTGTGAAACCTGAAAACACTGCATTTGTGATTCCTCTTCCAAGTTCCAATTGTGCATGACTGCATGTGCAGTGTGCACTGTTAGGCTAGGCGTTAGCATTTAGCAATTTAGCATTGATTATTCAATATTCATTGATTGTTAAACCGAAGTCGTACCGAACCAAAATAGTAAATACCGAACCGTACCGAAATATTTTGGTATGGTATTTGGTATACACAATTGATAAACCGAATACCGAAATACCGAACCGAAATTCTTACATACCGAACCGAAATACCGAACGCCCACCCCTACTCATGACCTTCAAAAGAATGGTGAATTAGATATTCGACAAATTAGTTCAAGTGATAAATTGACAGATTTGTTCACTAAGGCATTGCCGACATCTACATTTGAAAAATTAAAATAGAAGATTGGAATGCATCGTCTTCGAAATATCAAATAAGGTTTTTATCAGGGGGAGAAATACGTGTTACACTCTTTTTCCGTTAACCAAGGTTTTGTTCCATTTAGATTTTCCTGTTAAGATTTTTTAATGAGGCANGAATTTTTCTTAGTAATGTTTTAATAAGACACATTATCTACTAATGGACATCCAAGGGGAAGTGTTATAAATCCTGCAAGTGAATTCATCCAGTTCTTATGTTATTATTCGATAGAGTTGAAAAAATAGAAAATATCTTCTCTTCTAATATTATTATTCCCTTCTTATGTTAATTTCTAATTAATACATAATTTTTGCTATATTGCATTTATTTCATAATAGAAATAGACTTTTTCTAAAAAAGCGCTTGCGCAACGAACATCAGTATCAAAGATATGTAATAAAGAAATGGATTTGCCTAACAAGCAGATAAGACACCTTGAAATATATATTAGCTTTGGGCTACGAAAGTCAGAGAAGAAACAGACCAAGTACGTAATTACTTTATTCATTTCGTGCTCAAAGCATTTGCTTTGTCTACTCATGAAGTCTCCGCTTTAGCCATGGATCATGAGGATTCATCGTGTTACGATCTTAAATCATACTGAGAACTGTGATCGCAACTGGACGATCTTAATCATACATCATTGTATTATTAGTTAATAATAATAATAATAATAATAATAATAATAATAATAATAATAATAATAATAATAATAATAATAATAATAATAATAAGACAGGACGTCACAATACCTCTTAAACTCCGCTTTTATCAAAATTTATCTAGCTAGGACTAGACTTAATGTACCTGGATCTAGCATAACTACAAACTTATCTTACATACAAATCAAACTAAAACAAAAGATAAAGATAGCCTCTTATAGAAATAGGTATGAGGTTCACTGCATACTACTAATTCAAGAGTCGATCTGAACTCTTCGCTAAAAAATGAAATTAACAATATGTTTTCTTAATTAAAAGGCAACATTATTCAACGTTTGCAATCCTCATTTACCAGGTCACCTCTTCTTCAGCGTAACAACTTAAAATAAAGTGGATGAGAAACGTCATTTTCCATATAATAATCAATACTTACTTAAAAATAGATACAAGATCAAAGAAGCATATATATGGTTTCGCTGTCACCCAGATCTTTTTCTTTTATTTCGGGGGTTATATCTTCCTCTGTTAGGGTATCTCCAACCCTTGCACCATTTTTTTACACTAAAATGGTGTAAATTACAAAAAAAGAATATTCCTTTTATATTCTTCTCTCTCTTTTATATTATATTTTTTGTTATTTCAAAAAATAAATTCTTTCTTTTTATATGGAGATAAAAGATAGAGCTTTGAAACTAAAAGAATTTAAAGAAGAAAATAAAATTTTACTATCGAATTTAGATTCTATTGATGATCCAAATATTTTTATGTTATTTAATGAACATTGTGTTATTTATTAACAACATATTATATTTTAGATTTGCTCTTTTCATTTTTTTGATAGTTATATATTTTTATCCAATTATAACTTATAATAAAATTAACTTACAATTTTATATAAAAATAATGTATACGCTAATTAATTTATAAAAATTATACATCAAAATTAAAATGTAAAATTAATATTATAAATATATTACATAAAAGTATAAATAATTACAAAATTATAATATGTTAAATAAAAAGTATTATATAATAATAAGTTATAATAAAATACTGATGAATAGTAATACTATTGATGAATAGTGTTACACCAAATTTGGTGTGACACTATTCACACACCAAAATGGTGTAAGAAATAGTGTTGGGTTGGAGCACCCAAACACCAAATCTTACATCATAATAGCGTTTGGAGTAAAAACTAGTATTGGATTGGAGATGATCTCACATACCAAAATGGTGTAAGAAATGGTATTGGATTGGAGCACCAAAATACCTATACCAAAATAGCATTTGAAGTAAAAAATGGTATTGGATTGGGGATGATCTTAGAATGATGTACGACGCCAAATTATTGTTTTTAAAGCATCATAAATTACTTCATGAATCGTAGTAATTTCTTCTTAGCACAAGCTAATTAAACACTTAAGATTGTGACTTAGTGGTCATCAAAATGAGAGGAGAATCACAAAATTTCAAGTTTAAATTTCAGCAGAGAAAACATGAAAATAGTAGAGCAAAAGTGCCTTCTATAGAGGAAATATATATACCATTTGGAATTAACTACTGTAGAAAGGTTAATGACAAGATATGAGAGCTTAAAGCATGTACATTAGTTTAACAGCCAACCATATTGAGCCATCTAAAAGGTTTCATTTTGTGTTGTTGAGAATCTTTTGGGCCTTTTAAACGATTGCAACAGAAATATATCGACAAAATGCACGGTCTAGCCAGTTTTCGGACTGGTCATTCAAAAATAGCCAGCATTTGCCAAGTTATTGAAAAATAATCATTATTTTGCTGCAACAGAGACAGGTCCAGCATAATATACTGGAGTTCGGTGCACCTGTGTATGAACTTCCAACATATTATGTTGGATCGGTATACTTTGCTGGCTCCAGTATAATATACTGGAGACTGGATCACCGGTGCTCCAAATTCCAGTATATTATGCTGGACCGATATATTAATTATGCTAGAACTCCAGTATATTATGCTGGGGTATTTTTTCGAATTTTGAACAATGTTTTCGTTCAGATTTATCTTTACATGAAAAGTGGCTAAAATTTCGATTACTTTTGAAATTGTGACTATTTTTGAATGACCACTTGTAAATCTGGCTATTTTTGAATTTTTTTTTGCGTTGAAATTTGTTTAGCTATGGAGAAATTCGTGTATGCTAAATGTTTCAATTTGTTTTTTACCACTTCAAAGTTCAGGCGTTACGTGAAATTTACAAAAAAAAAAAAAAAAAAAAAAAAAAAAAAAAAAAAAAAAAAAAAAAAAAAACTATGTTTACTTTCCTACATGGGTGTCTAACTGGCCGGGTCAATTCGTTTCCGGACCGGCCCCGACTGGAACCGGCCTGGACCGGTACAAAAGGACTGGGTGGGGCTGGGTTAAAGGGGTAGGGGGTTGGTCCATTTACTTAAATCCTACCCAATGGCGGATGCAGCATACAACTACCGTGTTCAACTGAACCCAGTACTTTCAACGCGGGACATAAATTTACGTCTAAAAAATCACTAAAATTGCAATAAATAGTAGATATGAACCCATAATTTTAAATGCTGAACCCATAGAACTAAAATCCTATTAACCAAAATCCCTGTAGAATCGGTTAACCGGCCCGGCCCAGACCGGTTTAGAGGCTAGATTTCAATTTTTTTTATTTTTTTTAAGGTTTTAGAATCTAAGGCAATATAAAACCTTTGAATTTACTCTTTTTTCGTTAATTTACCTGTTGTTAATTGTAAACCTTTCAATTTGTAAGTTTGGATTTTGAAATAAATGTAGCACTTGCAATTTATAAGTGCAAATTTTTTTCCATCTTCATTGTATTTTTTATATTTTTACTTTATATTAATATAAATTACAATAGTTATACAAAATACAAAAAAAATATATATATATAAAAAAAAGCTAACCCGGCCCGGCCCGACCCCTTGTACCCGTAACCCTTACGGTTTATTTTTTACCCGGATGAACCCGAACCCGTTAAGCCCGGTAACTCCTAACACGTAGCCGGCCCGGTTCCAAATCCGTATGGTTCAAAATTTTCCCTACCCGGCCCGACCCACCCGTTTTACACCCTTACTTTCCTATGTCTGAGAAAGCGTGTAAGCTTTGATTTGCTACGGTCATATGCAATAGACCATAATATAAAAGTACTAGATGCAGTTTGATCAATAATAGAACTAAAAACAATATAAAATATTTTCTAATAAAATAATTTAAATGTCATAGCCATCAATATCCGATTGCTACAACAAGAAACCATATCTCAACAAATCTAAATTATATTATAAACAAATTGGAGAAAATTTTCTAATGATGATGGCATAGAATTATAGAAGTTGATAAAAGTCGATCCCGGCCAGAACGCAACTATATAAAGAGTTTCCTTTGGTGTGCTTTATCCATCAAACTTTCTAATAGTTCTATATTAGAATTGAAAATATTTATTATTAGACATGGGTTTGAAAGGAAAGTTGATTTCACAAATAGAGATAAAAGGTTGTGGGGATCTCTTTCATGAAATGTTTAGGCACAAACCACATCATCTTCCTAATGTGACTCCAGATAAAATTCAAGCTGTCGATTTGCATGAAGGAGATTGGGGTACTGTAGGCTCCGTCGTCAACTGGAATTATACTATCGGTAATTAAGATTTTCTAATCACTTATTTATATTTTTATTATACAGGAAGTTTTCAATCTTGATTAGCTTTTCTCCTGATACGCCATTGTCCTATAAAAAAGTGGTATTCTTCTTGTTCCACTGGATATGACACTATTTCTATTTGGGGCTCAAACAAAATTCTTTTTGATCTTCTTATTATTATACACGTTCTTTAAATTTACACTTCACTTGCCGAGATTCTAGGATTCTAAGTGTATATATATAGAGAGGAGACAAATATGTGAGATATTATTCGCCATCTAAGCATACAAAACCAAATAATTTTACTTAATTTTACTTTTTTTTGGGCCTTTAATAGAGATTTAAGGGTAATTTATTACACAAATAAAATCTTTCGTTGCCACCAGTTATATGACTATCAAAAGAAGTCTTGGATTTATAGCCTCTGTGTCAGAATTTGGAAGTATGGAAGTATGCTCCTAGCGAGTAGCGATTGTCGGGTTTTTAAGGTGATCATCAGGATATTGTCACAAATATCGATCACCAAAATTTTTTAATAGTATAGCCGAAAATTCTGATAATCGTCAGGACTTCTGGTGCTTTACGTTAGGACTTTTGGCCAAATCTTGGTGATTACCGTGCCATGCTTCTGGTGATCGATTTGTGCAAATTCTGACTGATCACCCGAATTTTCAGCCACAATGGCACAAAGTTTTGGTGATCGTCACGATTCCTAGCTAGTACAAAAATCTAGCACATGATTAATTTTCCAAAACTTATTTTTCAAAATATAGGTAATGGTACTCAATATATACATCCTTCGTAATCTCCGCTTTATTTATGGACTGGACTATGTTCATTATAATTTTTTTTTTGATAAAAAATAGAAGGACAAACCAAGGTAGTGAAAGTGGTTGTTGAAGCCATAGACGAGGAGAAAAGGCTAGTGACATTCAGCGCATTTGAAGGTCATTTAATAGAGCAATACAAGACCTTCAAGGCAACTGTTCATATTGAGAATGAAGGAGAAAACAACTTGGTCTTATGGACTATAGAGTACGAGAAGCAGAATGATGAAGTTTCAGAACCCTTCTGTTATTTGGAATTTGCCACTAATCTCACCAAAGAAGTTGATGCCCACCATGTCAACCAGTAGGTTGAGATATAATTGATTTTCTTTAAATTGTTGTGAATAAGGAGAGTTCAAGAATTTAAGTGGTCGTGCTTGTTGATGTTTGTGTTTCTCATAAACATGTTTGCTTAGCTGTGTTTTAAATAAAGATGTTTGATTTGTTGTGTTTCTTGTTAAAATATTTGCTTCGTTGTCTTCGTGAAATAAGTATGGTATATGTATCTTTTCAAGAAGAAGGAATTATATTTGGATGCTTTGATTTTGTGAATTGATTAACTCGATTCTTCATCGTCCTCAATTTTGATTAGACTTTACGTGATTTACAAGTATAATTAATACCGTCGATTAACAATAAATTGCCCTTGGCGATAAAACTATCAGAATAATAAAATTTCGACAGGAAAAATGTGTCTATAAGAAGTTTCCAATGGATTTTTCGGAGTTTTCTGTAAGATTGAGTTTGTGAGTTCTTGAATATTTCTCCAGTCACATATTGGCAACATTCCCCAACAAATATTCGTTAATTTTTTTCCGTCAAAATATTGTTACATTTTTTATATTAAAAATAAATTTTGATAAATTTATTTTAGAGATTTTGAAAGGCACTTAGGATTAACTGTTTTATATTCTGCCAAAAATTATAGAGAAAACTGCCCTCTATAGTCTCTCAAAATTTTAATAGCCCATGTTTTTCTCACTTATACAAAATGGTTCTGCGGCCCAAAAATATTATATCTAATAGTCCGAAATGACTATTTTGTATATTTTTTGTATAGTGACAGTCTATTTTGTATAGTGACACTATATTTTGTATATTTTTTGTATAATAACAGTCTATTTAGTAGTATATTTTTATATAGTGACAGTCTGTTTAGTATATTTTTTGTATTATGATAATCTATTTTAATTTTATATATATTATGTATAGTGACAGTCTATTGTATGTAAATTGTATAGTGATAGCCTATTTTGTAAAATTCCCTTACACTTCCATGTTTGCCCATTACGGAACCATTAAATCTCGTGAACACAAATTCCAGACAAACACGGCAGAATTCTCAAGCCATGTGGCCCACAATCTAAAAAGGAATTTAAGTTCTATAAAATAATATAATTATATATAAATTCTAACCACTGCTGTTAGTGTAAAGATTGGTGGTTCATTACAGAGGCGGCACTTCGGCAGCGGCTTCTTCGGCTAAGGAAAATGCGTATGATCGTTGAGGAAGAAGGAAGTTAGGGTTTTCAAGAGGTGGTGGTTGTGTTGTTGGGTGAGGATGAACGGATGGTTTGATTTGAATTCTGACAGTGGCGGAGGAGCGATGGAGAGAGCGGAGGAGGATGCCATAGAGAGGGGGAAGAGTGGCAATGGTCTTGGGCTAGTCTTATAATTAGTTTTGGGCTATAAAATGTATAGGGAAATGACACTGAAAAATAACAATAATAATACTACAATAATATTATTTGAAAGCAGATACACGAATTGGCTTGAGTCATATTGGGCACTATCCTAAGAAACTATTTCAGCAATGTAAAATATTTTCCCAGGATTAAACAAGCCCTTCTCCATTTGGGAGGATACAGGAATCAGCAAAATTAAATATTACAAACCCCGCTATTTAAAAAAGAGGAACAAGAAAAGTTAAACTACCACAAAAAAAATAAAGGGAAGTTGGTGAATAATGAAATTAGAAGGAAAAAGAAGAAGGATTTCTTTTTGTCTTGCTGATGATAATTGATAAGAAAGGAGTTATTGGTAATAGCTATTTATAGCCTCATTTGCATGAAGACTTGTTGTACATGGCAAGAAAGCAGCTGATGGAATTTGCCATTTTACCAAGGTATTTTACCACCTTTCTAATGGCTTCTAGAAGGGATGTCACTTGGCTTTAATTATGACAATTGTCATCAAAGTCTTTAAAATATTGCTACAGACTCACTATTTTAAAGACTTTCAAAAATAAATTTTCTAGATTTGCATGGTCCAAATGTAATAGGTTTTGTGTCTTCAAGACTATGAACCAAATTTAGGTCAATAAAACTTAACTCACAGAATTTCTGGTGAAATATAATATTTTTATGAATTAATAATTCTTATTGTAAGTAAGAGATTTTATCAATCACATTTTGACCCCCAGTAATTTTGATGTTCAACGCGGTTTTGCGCTCAATAGGCCATGCGCGTGCCTGGTTATTCATGAGAGCTCTAGAGACTAGGCTAAAATCTCATAGGAGCGGCCCACTCCACTCTCATATAGGTGAATTCATCAAGTGTATACTGCTTTTAAATACACCATCCATAAATACTATGAATTTCATTAAGAGTTATTACTCAGTCTCTCAATTAGTAGCAGTCAAGCACTCTCTTTTAGTGCATTAGGGCCAATATCGACCTTTTATTACCCATATGAACCTACTTCATGGGATCTCCAGTCACATAGGTTGGGTTACCATCTATATTGACAACATGTCGGCCTTAACCTCATCTTTTTTGATGTTTGAAGAATTAATTTTCTTCCCACGGGTTTAGTCAGAGGATCGGCCAAATTTATTTCTGACTTCACATAGTCAATGGAAATATTCCATCTCTCAACAGCTATTTTAGGACATCATGTCTCAGTTTCATGTGTCTACTTTACAATTTTAAGATTTATTCTTTGAAATAGCTATTGCTGCTTGACAATCACAATGTATAGACACAGGAGGCAATACGTCCTTTATTAAAAGGATATTAGCTAAGAAGTTTCTTAGCCACTCAGCCTCAGAACCAGCTAACTCCAGAGCTACAAACTCTGATTCCATAGTCGATCTAGCGATGATCGTCTGTTTAGCTGATTTTCACGATATTGCACCACCACCAAGGGTGAATCCATAACTACTAGTGAATTTTGTCTTATCTGAATCAGAGATCCAGTTTGCATCATTGTACCCTTCTAAAGTAGAAGAAAATCCATTATATAGGATACCATAATTCATGGTTCCTCTCAAATATTTCATTAGTCTATCTAATGCAAACCAATGCTCTCTGTTGGGATTATGAGTATATCTACTCAGTCTACACACTGCATAGGCTATATCAGGCCTTGTAAAATTTATTAAATGCATCGGACTCCCAATAATCTGAGCATATTTAGACTAAGCAACTGGGTCACCATTATTTTTTTTCAACTTAGAGTTAGCATCAAAAGGAGTGCTCACAGACGTGGCATTAAAATATTCAAACTTCTTAAGAAGTCTCTCAACATAATGTTCTTGTGACAACATTATTCCATCTTCACTCCTTATAACTTTAACTCCCAATATTGTATTTACTTCACCCAGATCTTTCATATCAAAATTAGCAGACGAAAATAATTTTGTACTTTGCACAATATTTAAATTTGTACAAATTAGTTTGGATATTAGGAACATGCAATACATCGCTCAATGCTAGAGTTTACCAGATGTGAGTTTGAGATGAATTTTTCCTTTCCCAAGAACACGAGTTGTTCTTGAGTCACCAAGATAAATAGTTTCTTCTCCTTCTTCAACTTGGGTGTAAGACAAAAATTCATTTTTGTTTGCACAAATGTGTCTAGTAGCACCAGAGTCTATCATCCAATCTCTCGCATTGGCCATATTATTTATTTGGAAAATGACCGTAACAATTATATTATCCGCTTTAGTCAAATTTAATTTTGACTTAGCAAGATTATCATTTATCCCAACTCTTCTCTTGCATTAAGGTACATTTTTCTTGAAGGTTTTAATATTATCATTGGATATGTAACAATGTCTATTCATATACATGTGTTTGGACATTAGTGTCTGCCAAAGTTGTGGATGCAATAACGTATTTACAACACCATGGATATCTGGCAGGACAACTGGAACAGTTGCAGTAGAGACAATACCAAAATTGGTAGCACCATCAAAAAATTTCGTAGTATTATTACTTGCCAAAGTTTCTTAAATTGTAGGGAAATGACACTAAAAATAACAATAATAATACTGCAATAATATTATTTGTAAGCAGATACACAAATTGGCTTGAGTCGTGTTGGGTATTGTCCTAAGAAACTATTTCAGCAATGTGAAATATTTTTCCGGGATTAAACAAGTCCATCTCCATTTGGGAGGATACAGGAATTAGCAAAATTAAATATTACAAACCCAGCTATTTAAAAGAGGAGAACAAGAGAAGTTAAACTACCAAAAAGAAAGACAACAAAGGGAAGTTGATGAATAATGAAATTAGAAGGAAAGAGAAGAAGGATTTTTTTTTTTTGTCTTGTTGATGATAATTGATAAGAAAGGAGTGATTGGTAATGACTATTTATAGCCTCATTTGCGTGAAGACTTGTTGTGACACGCAAAAAAGTGGCTGATGGAATTTGCCACTTGACCAAGGCATTTTGCCACCTTTCTAACGACTTCTAGAAGAGATGTCACTTGGCTTGATTATGACAATTGTCAATAAAGTCTTTAAAATATTGCCACAAAATGAATACTGCAATATTGGTTTGGTACCCTTCAATAGCAGAAAATATTTACTTGGATTGAACATGAACTTCTCTGTTTTGTTTGGTAGTGCCAAATCTCTGCAGACATTGCGATTGCCAAAGTGTGAAATAAGCGATTCTGTGGCAGGACAGGTAGTGGCGGATCCAAAATTTTCATCAAGATATGTCATAATATAAATAATTAGATATATCGAAAAGTGAAGGGGAGTCAACGTACAGTAAATATACATAAATAAATAAAAAAAATTATCTAGCAAAATAATGTAATTTTTCAACGAAGGGGTGTCGCTTGACAGGGGCAGATCTAGTGTGTAGTATACGGATTCCCGGGAACCCAATAACTTTTGCGTAGACTCTGTATTTTTGTTAAAATCTTTCTTAATATTTCCAACAGCCATAAAAAAATGCACTGGAATACAGAGCTCATTTTATGGCTACTGCGAACATAAACCGAAGACAATCCAACCTCCAAATATCACGAAACACTATCATAAAACCACAAATAACCGGTAAATCACAAATTAAACAATCATAAAATGGAATATAATACAAATGTCGAAACATCAAAAACAATAAAAGGCTTAAGTAATACGAGCATTAGTCAATCCATCAATACATTAAGAGGTTGTTTGGCCAATTTTCTGGGAGGCAAATTTAAGCTGTTTGGCCAAGACGGAAAAGTACTTTTGGCCAGCAACAGAAGCAGTTTTTCTGCTTTTGGGAAGAAGCAAAAAATTCTAACTTCTTCTAAGAAACAAAAGCAGAA